ACAATTTCCTATATATGTTACATAACAAAATTTCAGAATTACGTAAGATTAACAATTGTACATGATGAAGTTTAATAGCACGGTAGATTTATTGATATAGTAAAAACAATTCTCCGCCAACTCTAATGGGGAATATATATATATTATAGTTTAGAATATATTATAGTTTAGAATATTCAGCAGAATATACAATATTTATCGAGGTTTCTTGTTGCTAAAAAACATTTAATACATTAACAAATTTTAATGTAGTTAATAAAAATAAACTGTTCAACAAATTCCAGATTCAATTTGTATTTTTTTTGGAACTTTTGTGTTTTCCATCTTTATTTATATCTGTATATTAAATTAAAAAATGACGATATAAAAGAATTATTTACTTCTAGTTCAGGAAATGTGAAGATTATATATTCATTTTTACAAATTAATAATTTGTGATGTATGGAAATGAAACAATTCGTGATATATTCCTTTAATTTTTATATTTTATATTGGCAAAGAAACTAAAATCGTTCTATTACATTATTATATTATTACAGACTACTGTAAAACCTCTAAAAATAAATAAAGTTACAACAGAAGAATAGAATTTGAAATTCCTGTTCTTCTACAGGAAATTGAAACATACGTCTTATTCACAAACTCATACAGAGCTGACACATACTAATACAAAGTAAAAAAAAGCTTTTAAACGGATGGTTTCAAAAACTTTCTTTTCGCTCATTGTTGTTTATTATATCATAGAAATTAGAACTATTCGATTTTGATTATTATATTTATATTATATTTATTTATAGTCACCATTATAAAATAATTAACTAACAGTTAAAATAAAGATACAATTTTTAACAAAGTAATTAGATGTTCTCTCTTCTAATACGTAATAAAAGTTAATAGTTAAATGTTTAAAACGATAAAAATCAATGTTTGTAGTGACAGAAAAGTGTTTTACATGGCAATTTTAAATAACGCTGATATATACTAATATTATACTGTATATTATAATTATAATAAGATGAAAAATATGTATATTTTCATTCTATATTGAGTAAGCACGATTTTTGTTATAAGATTAATGAATTTTAATAAACTTAAATTAACTCAGAATATGAAATGAATTTGCCAAAGTAACTAAGATAATATTTAGAGAAAAGAATTTGTTTAACAATAAATCACACAATCGTTCGCACAGTTACTTTCACATATCATTTCCTGCTGCACAAACAAGTCTGCTTAGTCATGACATAAAATTTTGCCCGGCAGCAAAAGTTTGCTGGATGAAGCGATGCATTTCTGTTTTTCTTTCATGGATCAAATAATTCGTTTCTGTCTTTGGTCACAGTGGCCTCAAAAATACGAGATGCAAACACAGACCATTTTAATGCAGCAAGATGTTAATATTTAATGAAACACGAACGCGACCTTCTGACTTGGTCCGTGCTTATTATTGATAAGATAACGGCCAACGAGAAACGAGCTTCGTGTGTACTCGGCGGACTAGCAGGAAGAAAACGCGTATACTCCTCAAGATTTGTGGCCCTCGCGACGAAATTTATTACGGCGCGGGATGTTATCCGTATACATAAAATAACAACATGTGCGTGCGCACGTGTATATGTGTGTGTGTGTGTGTATGTATATGTGCCCGTGGTATATCGAGCTACGGTGTACTACCCTGTTGCATCTCTCACCGGCACGTCCCGCGCGCTTCAATTTCAGAGGGTCCAAGTGCGACGAAATTTGTTCCACCGAAATATGCGCGCACTCGTGCGCGCGTTAAAAAATTGAAAAAGGGGCGAAGTACCCGGCATATCCCAATAATATCTTTTGCCGTTCTGGAAAAAAGTTACGCGCCATACGTGGCGTTGGCGCGGCCCTCAACTGGTCGGACTGCACACACGGCTCCTCTGTTTTCCAGATACGGCGGAACATCATATGCACGCGCGCGTGCGAGAGAAAGGAAGAAAAAGAGTGAGAGAGAGAGAGAGAGAAAACATGCAAATTGTATTTTCATTTACTCGCTTTGCATAAGAGAAAGCCGTCTGAGCGTGATAATCCGAAGCCGCGCATCCTTTTAAAAGCAAAACGACCGAAATGTATTCCGAAACGTGTTCGTCGATGTCTGAAGAGAAAATCGTATTTTCGCACGGAGAACAAACGATCCCTCGAGTCTTTATGTGCATTTTGCTTGCACCGCGAAAAAAATACACTCTTTTTGGTGAAACGTACTTTTCTCCAAATACGTTAAATCTCGCATCACAACGAACGTCGCTCCGCGCGCTCGCAATGCATACAGGGTGTCTTAAAAATACCGAAACCCCCGGATAACTTTGCAGGATTAAGTTTTCATAAAAAACTTTAAATACACAAGTCATAGAAAATCGAGTAACGGACTTGATGGTGACCTTGAATTTGACCTTGGCCATGACCTTTAAGGTCATTTGGAAGTCAACGTGTGTTTTTTTAAATGGGAACCTTTATTTTTTATTACGCTGTTCTTTTTTACCGATTAATTCGAACAACTTTTGTCTTAAACATTTTTTATTTGCCTAATATATTTTGAGATATTTGAGGAAAACTTGATGACTTTTTCAATATTTAACTTACGATATCTCGTTCACTATTTGGCAGAAGAAAAAGTGATATTAGACTTTCTTGCTTTATTTAGTCTCAAGAATATATTGTTACAATAGCGCCCTTTTGTAAACTGTTGTAAAATTACTGACTTTTGGAAATTTCAAAATCATCAAATTAACAAAAATCAGGGTACTATTATAACAATATATTCTTGAGACTAAATAAAGCTAGAAAGTCTAGTATCACTTTTTCTTCCGACAAATAGTTAGCGAGATATCATAAGTTAAATATTGAAAAAGTTATCAAGTTTTCCTCAAATATCTCAAAAAATATTAGGCAAATAAAAAAATGTTTCAGACAAAATTGTTAAAATTAATTGGTAGAAAAAGAAGATATAATAAAAAATTGGTTTTTCTATTTTAAAAAATTTAATTGACCTTCAACTGACTTTGAAAATGCCCTCCAAATATAAAACTGATAATGCCATTCTCTTTTCTCTTCGAAATCATGGAACACATGTTTTAGCTTTTTTAATATCTTTCATAATTTTTGAGATTTTTACCTGTTACATTTGAAATTTAGCATCCTGTATATATAACACGATATATCCGTGTCGCGCGCGGACGACTGACAGCTGCGCGATGACGGTCCACGTGCGAGCAAATCGCGCGCGCCACGTACGCAACGCCACCGTAAAACAGTTCCGACGAGGAAGGAAGCATGTACGCTGGCCGGAGCTGTGACATTTGCATTATTTCTCTCCGTTCATCCTTACCCATGCCCGTCGTATGTAACACGGCGACCGTATCTCCGCGGGATAATTGGGCGAAGCGAAGCGTATGACACGACTCGCTCCCAAGAACGACATATTAATACACGCACGACGCTCGACAAATATCGCCTGAAGAATATACATGCGTATGCAAGCGAAGTCGCTGCGCGATCACGCCACAATTTTTATCCAGTATTACGTGCCACGGGAAAAAAATGGATGAGTTGAGTCAGCAAATCTGTAGCTATGTAGTGGACGAAACTTAAATGCTATTACTAAGAAATTTGCTCGTGCATCAAAGAGATTATGTGAAGTAAATTGTCAACCAACTCATGGGTAAACCCATTTTCGTGAATCTTATTAGTTATTGTATATTTTACAAAGTGGCCCCCGTAAAGAATGTGACAACCTAAAGATTCTAGAAATATTTGTCAAAAAATCGTTCAATGACAAAGTTTCATGCATTCAAGAAGTCTTTCTGGCTATATAAATAAAAGTTCGCACTCGCTCTCTTTATAGCAAAGTGCATTCAAACTAAAGTGATAAAACCATAAATTAAATAAAAGACTTCATAGCTTTTCACATTTTTTACTTTATTACATGTTCGAACTATTGACCACTCACAATTAAACACTTATTAATACTTTTTACAAAATTTTGTCGAACTCTAATAGTTTTGCTGCATGTCGAGAATTCTTCTTACATTCTCCCAGAATTAGCAACATATACTGTAAAGTTTAAATGTTTATAACTTTTGATAGAAGTATTTTTTAAAGAAATGTTTCAGATAAAGTTAATTTGTTTCTTCCCATAGAATCCAAATGTGTAATATTTTATAAAAAGACCCATTTGAAATTACAAAGTTACCTCCTACTCCTTTCAGGGAAGAGCGGGGACGAACTTTCATTTATATAGCTAGAAAAACCTCTCGAATACATGAAACTTTGTCATAAACAATTTTTTTATATGAAAAATATTTTTACAGTTTTTGGATTATCATACTTTACGGTATTATCACTTACTTTACTTTAGGTCACCGTGTATAATCTATATTATATACATGCAATATCATATATTCTACATTGTATATTTATTATTGTATATATTAAATAGTAATAGTAGATCTTACTTTATGCAGCAAATCATTTTCTATTTTTAATAAAAAATATAAAAGGATTTTAAGAGCTTGTATGTGAATTTTATAATGTTATAAAATTAAATGAGATTTTGATATTTGATTTTTTACAAAATTAAGAGAACTTTATTTTATTCTTATTATTATAAATTATTTTTTATTTCGATGGTTTTAATTTACGGAACAAATTCATTGATTTTATTAAAAAAAACATGCCACTTTTACTCAATAAAAGAAGAAGGAGTATTTCTTTCATCTTAGGAAGAAGTGATTGAATTTAACTGCAGTTGTACTAATATATGCGTATCAGCTTCATCAAAAATTAAAACATAAAACAACTTTCTTTCACTATAAATATCGTGGTTTTAGTCAACTCTTCCATTGCTAGAATAATTAATTATTTGCTATAATAAAATTCTCTAATACTAGTATATCAAATATGTTTATTTAGATGCAACGGTAAACCATCATCTCAACAAATATCTTTTCTGGAATATTCTAAATTATATATTTTTAAATTATATATATTTTCCTTTGATTTTTATAGAGAGTTATCTTTATACGAACAAATCTCTGTCATACTATAACTTCAAAATTCGTTAGGTACAATCGCTAATCTTTACGTAACTTTGAAACTTGATTACTGTGACATAAAAGAACTGGCTGTTCTTATATTATGGTTATAGATTTGCTAAATTAACGACGGTTTCTAATTCTAACGGTTTCTAATTCTAACAACAAATATTTTTTTCCGAGCATATATAATAATTTTGAAATACAAATATATTACATATATTTGCGCATATGTTAAACATAATTAATATATCATATATAAACATTATATAAATAAGAGACTGATTCATACGAACCTCATTGTCCTCCGCGAGGACAGTTAAATATATATTTCTAAATAAATGCGTTCTGCCGATTTTTTACTTTCGACTTTCGGATCGCAAATATACATCAGTGTGATAATTCGTAATAATAATCGTGTTCGGTCGAATAAATCGCTAGATAAGCGATTACTGTGTCCAACTGATAAGCGATAACTGATAACGACTTTCAATACTCGTGTACTTTCAGATTCGACCCAACGTTTAAGAGTATACGGCAATCTGATTCATTGACTCGTTAATCTCTTTCCAAAAGCTTCACGCGTTTTGCCGACCGTTATCTCCTTTAATGAGGGAAGATATCGAATGAAGATACTGAACGGAAAGTCTAACAGGCGCAGCGCCGGTAACCCGCGTGGCGGGTAGCAGATTAACCCTTTAACTGCTACGGTCGAGATATCTCGAGTATGGAAAAAAATGGCGGCCTTGCTACGGTCGAGTTTACTCGATTTGAACTTTCAATGTGTGTGGTATTGCGTGTGGTATTTTTTTTTAATTTAGAAATGTGAATTTATGAAAATCTGGATCATCAGCAAATTATAAAATATTTTATAATTGTAAAAATAACTCAGCAAAGAGGGTCATACTGGTCATTTAATATCTCAGCAGTTAAAGGGTTAAACAGGTTAAACACAGTTAAACAGCTCACACATAATGCGCACGCGTGCGAGCGCAGGAGAGACCTCGGTAGACTTCGAGATATCGCGCGGCTTCACTGAAGGATATTATAATCCTTCTTCCGTGCGGATAAACGCGGAGAGTAAGACAAATGAGATGATGGCGGCGAGCGTTTGCGGAAGGTAAACAGTTGCGTCGCAGGATACGCCGTGTGTTTGCCCAGATCGCGGGAGACGGGATAAAATTCGCGAGAGCGCGTCGCTGTAGGCGCGCGATGATGCTCCTGTGGCTGTGGTAAATGCATCGCGAAGCGGGTCACATCAATTATGCCGCATCATATTTCGAGTATCGAGTTCCATGAAAGACCTGCTCCTTATCTCGGTATCTTGTTTAGCGGTATGTCGCTGGAGCAGAAAAATTCTCGACAAAAATTGATCACAAGGAAAAAAGATCAGTTTTTTTTACACTGTTTAGGTTATACTAGACGATATAGGCGATTAAACTGCGAGTAAAAAATTATGTTGAAATAAAACTGGATAAATGTTCACAAAAAACTTACAATCGTAATGGCTTAGACCTTGACATTACCAAAATTATCCCGAGTAACTTTCAAAAGATTTTAGCCGCTCATTGTTTATTAAGAAGTTATTAATGTTTATCATTAAGATAGTTCTGTGCCGTCTTTTGTGAACATTTACCTAAAACTGCTTGGTTATTAGCCAGTATATAGGTAATTTTAACTTTTAATAGATAGTTTATACGATGCGATTTTCTTTACAACTAACCACTGTGGTAAATATCAAAACATAAGAATGGAGAGAAAAGTATAAATGTACAAACACAGCTGATAAAACATTAACTATTTTCATTATTGTCCAATCCTCTTTGATAGCTACTCTTAATCAAAATTCAACGGGCGACTATAACTAGTTGTCGAATTCCTATTATAAATACCTGAAGAGAATCGACAAATGTTCGAGTCATTTAACATTACATTAGTGATAAAAAGTGGGAATAAAAATGGGGATAAAAATAAAGACAAGAATTTAAAATTGATAATAAATATCTAAAAACTGATTAAAAGTTCATTAACCCTTTGCGGACGAATTTTTCCTTAACTCCAATTCCCAGCAAGTCGAGCATATTCTCTATACAAAACAAAATTATACATAAAGACTTAAATATTGGAATAAAAAGATAAAGAAAAATATATATTGCTTTATGAAAATCTTCGCGAATAACTTCGCAATGCCTTAAAGCATCGTATAGCTTTCTGAGGAGCGATGCTGAGGAATGCAGCGATGACTATAGTCATCTCACGGACTTAGAAGGTTAACAATTACCTAGAGACTGGCTAGTTTCAGTGTTTAGCTATTATTTACTGTCAAAATAAGCGTTGATTAAACTGACTAGGATCTAAACAGTAATACTACTCGGCAGGCGGATGCGCGTCATCAGAATAAACTTTTAAAAGCTACCGCCCTTCTCTTCTGCCGTAGAAAGACTTAACGCTTCATCTTAGCGCTTGCGCTCGTCGGCGTCCTATGGCGTCCTAAGACCGACTATCTTGCGGGTCCGGTTTGAGTTGCACTTTGCCGATGTTTTCCGCTTCCCACACGGTATCCGGAAGTTTTGTCCCCAGAGTTTCCGGGAAAATCAGAGACAGGACTCCCGCGACCATACCCATGGCGCCGAAGAGGATAAGCGGCAGCGCGGGCATTATTTGCGCCTGGACGCAAACGAGACACATGCAATTAGAGCAATATCCGAGACAGTCGCTTTTCTCGAACGGTAACTCGTTCTTGGCGCGATGAATTCTCTTGGCGACAATTGAGAGAAGTTGACAAAAAAAAAGGAAAGAATATGATCAGCAGATATATTCCGTAAATTTTTGCATTATTACTCTGTTGACAAAATATGTAACACACTACTCACGGAAATGGTAGACATGCCTTGTCTTAAAAAATAAAAAACTTGGAAATTTAAATAAAAAGACAATTTTTCAAAAGTCATCTCCTACAGTGCAATTTTTTTCGAAAAACATCGAAGAATCATGAGATTGTCTTGGAAAGTTATAATACCAAAATCAATATGAAATAATGTTCCGAAAAATCCAATTTTTTCAAAATAACAACAACGAGTAAACAAATGAATTGTTACATTCTTCCAATATTTTAGAAAAGTATTTTAGAAGATCGTCTTGATCTTCTTCGATTTGATGTTCTCGATTTGAAGACTGTCGGATTAAAAATTTCAGAAAATTGTGTCACTTTTTGAATTTTGGCATTTTTTTTCAGAACAATGAATGTCTCGAAGATCCATAAAACGCGTAATCATTTAATGCTCGTTATGGACTATATAAGCGGTATTTATATATATTCATGTAATTTTTGAATTAAAAAAGTTGCAGAATAAACCTGCAGGCTACATGCAGAATTGTAGAAGTTTTACGAAAGTAATTACTTCTCGTTGAGAGAGATATCACAAGGCGAAGAATCTTTTCCGCAAAAGACTGATAAGAACTGTTTTCGTTTCTATTCGGCGATCTGCCTCGGTCTCATGCGATTAAGAGGAATACCGATTGGCATAAATCTTGCACATTTGCATGACAACGTTATCGAGGTGCATTTACGAAAACACGCTTGCGCGGTTCACGATCCACACGTGTTTACCGCGATGCGACGCTCTCTGTTGACTCACCAGAAGAGGTGTCTGCGGTGATAAAATTGACCCGACGCGGCCGGTCATGCTGCAAATTCCCAGTAGCGAATGCCTCATCGTCGTCGGAAAAAGTTCCGTCGTGTAAATGTAAACCGTGGCGAACGCTATGGTGATGCACAATTTCCCAGCCATGTACAAAAGTAAAGGCCCGTAAGTCGAGGCAGCTAAAACAGTTCAACGATTAATCCATCCCTTGCTTCATGCTGTAACTCCCAATGCAACTGACGTAATTATTTTACGACCAAGTAGCCTGCATGAGTACGCGATTTGTGTCTAAGTTGATGATGACTTTCTCCAATTAGTCTAATCGACAATTAACTGGCAGGACAAGCAATTTCTCACTATGTAATTTGTTGTCTGACAGTAACGCGAAAATTAATAATTCTTTGTATATTAGCAAAATAGAGCATTTAATACTGTACTTGAGAGAGGAAAGGAGGGGGAAAGAAAAATTGATAATAATTTTAAATATAAATTATAAAGAAAAACAGAGAGAGAGAGAGAGAGAGAGAGAGAGAGAGGAGAGAGAGAGAGAGAGAGAGAGAGAGAGAGAGAGAGAGAGAGAGAGAGAGAGAGAGAGAGAGAGAGAGAAAACGAGAATTTCTTAATCGTTTCAATAACAAACTATATTTTATTTTCCATGTTGACAACTCTAGTGGCTGAGTTAATTGTCGATCAGCTTAATCGGGATTTGAAGATAATCATCCTGAAAACTCATGCTCATCATGATTTTTTTGTATCCAGCCATAAAATAAAAACATTCCAATCAAACATTCCAATTATTAAAACATCTAACAACGCAAGAACAAACTTATTTTTGAATTGAATTATTTAATTATTATAAGAATACACGATATTTGAAGATCTCAGACAATCTTTTTCGACTGTTAAACTTTCGAAACGGGAATAATAGAGTAGTGTTTAACAGTGACAGTAATCTGTCACTGTGATAGCTTTACGTTAACGTCCAAAAACGAATGTTTATGGTTAAAAAATGCCAACACTAGTCAATTAGCAATGCTAATTATTAATACTACCTGCTAATTATTAGTATTAGTATTAGTACTATTGGTACTAATTACTTGTACTAGTTACCTTAATTACTTAATCGTAATTGTGCGTTTAACCTTTTTGATGTTATGCAGCATAATTGCTCTGTTTTCCTCCTGTTTCAAAAATGCTAATCCGTCGCCACAGTGGGCAAAAATGCGCATTGATTCTACTGCAATGCACAATCAATTATAATTTCAGATTAGTTTTACTAAAGCCAAATTCTATCATTCATAATCTTTATTGCAACTCTTTCATGAAAAGTGAATGAAAAACCGAAATACGGACATCAAACAATAAAAACACAATCGAACCGCTTAGCACTTTTCGAACGCATTCTGTAACCAGCTGTGGCACTTATATGACTGAGGCTATTCTACCAATCAATGTACACTCGTTTGTGAAACGGTTCGCACATTTGTTTTCTTTTTCCGATGAAGTTAAAAACGTATCAAACGGTTACAATTCGAGTGAGTCCCTGCTGGTCAGTTTACGCAATAATTGATTAAGACAGGAATTAAAGCGATAGTACATGAAACATCCAACGTTGCACTCGTTGCAGAAGACTCGGGGAAGAAATATAAGTATATAACTCTTATCTATCAGATAAGAGTAATAAAGCGTTAATATTTACATCATGTAACATCATTTCGGCTCCTGTCGCAACAAATTACCATGCAAGCCCGTAAGCAATAAATAAGCTTGCAATTGCGACTGTTTGACACGCTTATAACTTTATCGAAAAAAATGTTTTACGTCGTTTCGTAAAGAAATATTAGGAGTGTGATTTTTTAGGCTATTGCCAGAGATGGCACTAATGTCAGTTTTGTCGAAGACATTCCAGCCATAGCTATTATTTCTTAATGTCTTATTAATCCATATATTAATTCATGATATTGAGTTATTTACTAACAACAGACGCAGTAAAAATCGTATTAACATCATCTTAAAAATGGAACTTCTTAAAGAGTATCTTCGACATGCGATTTTTGCCTTTTAATCAGAAGAAAACAACGGCTGAAGACCATAAAATTTTAATAGAAACAGTGCTGTTGCTCCATCAATTAAGATAGTGAATATTATAGTTTAGAAGATTCAAAAATGATGATTTTAATGTTAACGACAAAGATCGCTCCGGACAACCAAAATTTACAAGCATTATTAGACGAAAATCCAGCACAATCCAGTTGAGAACTTGTCAGAGCATTAAATGTTGATAACAGTCGTACAACAGTTATTAAACATTTACATGATATGAGAAAGATTTATAAAGAAAGAAAATGGGTTCTACATCAATTATCTGAAAATGCCATTGCGAATCGGTTGAACATTTGCATTTTGTTGATCGCCAGACAAAAACTGAAGAGTTTTTTGTATCCAATTGTTACTGAGGATGAAAAGTGGATCTATTTCGATAATTCCAAACAAAAAAAATTATAGGTTGATCTAGGCCAATCAGCAAACATTCACTTCGAGGCGCAATATTCACGGTTCAAAGGTATTGCCGTCTGTTTGATAGAATCAAAAAAATGTTGTGTACTATGAATTGTTAAATCCGAATGAAACTCACCGCTGATCGTTATCGACAACAATTATACAAATTGAAGCGAGTATTGGACCAAAAACGATCAGCAATTGCGAGTAAACGACGCAAAGTGATCCTTCTTCACGACAATGCTTGACCTCATATTGCATTATCAGTGAAGCAAATGCTATTAGAGCTGGAATGAGAAGTCTTACCACACCCCGCGTATACTTCAGACATTATTCTATCCGATTATCACTTGTTCCAATCGATGCAACATGTTCTAGAGAATATACACTTTCATAACTTCGAAGAAGTGCGAAAATTTGTTACAAATTGAGTCAACTCTAAAGAAGAATTTTTTTATCGTCGCAGAACTCATCTCTCGCCAGAAATATGGGGAAAAGTTTTAGAAAACGAAAGAAAATGTCTTGATTAAGGTGTTCGTTCATTATCTTGTTTAAGTAAATCAGTTTTTGAGAAAGAAACCCTCAATACTAAATTATGCTCCTAATATATATATTAAGTAGCAAAACTAAGTACAAGACTTAGATACAATGAAGTAGGCACCAAATTATCTCGATTGAGAATTTCTACTGACAGGCTTGCGTAGTAATTAATTATGGATTTGAAATAACAGTATACGATAGAAAATATTAGCCTTTTGTTATATATGCATTCTTATATAATAGATAAAATTATATAATCTTATATAATAAATAAAACTATTTACATTTTTGCTGAATCATCAGTAATAGTTTCCAATTGCGAAAGTTTATAACGGACAACTTACTTTATTGTTTCTAAGCCGTTTTGCAACTAGATGTACATTTATATCCACAATGGTTCTCATGGGTTCCTTTTTCAATAAAGGACCCCGCACAATTCCTTATATAAATTTGATTTCGGTGGAATTGGCTGAATATTTGATATGTTGCAGATCTTGTCTCTGATAAAAAGTTCCCATAGGCATAACCCCCATTGACCATTTGACTTCTACGAAGTGTCAAATGTCAAAAGTGTCTAATATCACAATTTCTTATTTTTAACGAGTAAGATATATTCCTACTTTGATTTACATTTAAAAATTTTTTTCTGTGTATATTTAAAAATAAAAAGCTATAAAGGTGACATTGACTTGAAGATGATGAATTGATTTCAGAGATTTCAGCGATACTTTTATTTTCTATGTGGAACACGTGTTTCAATGTATAATATGTTAACTAACTAACTAACTAATTAACTAACTAACTAAGTGTACCATTCGATTATGTTTCGCTTTCTGTTAAGAACAGAAAGCACAACTTTTTTAATTAAATTATATTTTAAATCGTAACAATTCAGAATATTTTTGGTTCATTTACAATTAAAACACACGCGTGCATCATCCATCAAATCAATTTCCCTATCAACTTCTTCGCACCTTTTCATAGCTATTTCTCGTTTTATCGCATTATTATCATCATTTAATCGAGCTAAATGATTTGGACAAAAAGCTTGATCACAAACAAAGCAAGGCATTTAATTTCTATTTGCTATTTTAGTCAATACTAAATATTCAATATAGAGGAAGTGCGGGTATTGTGTAATAGTGGGGTAATGTGGATTTTTCTAGTCTGTCAAGTATCGCATCCGAACGAATAGCAGTGGAATTATTAGCTGCTGGACATTACATGTGATTAAAAAGTAAATTTTTAATGAACCAAAAATATTCTGAATTGTTACGCTATAAAATATAGTTTAATTAAAAAAGTTGTGCTTTGTGTTTTTAACAGAAAACGAAACATAATCAAATGGTACATTTAGTTGTTAACGTATTATACATTGAAACATGTGTTTCACATAGAAAATGAAAGTATCACTGAAATCTCTGAAATCAAATCATAATCTTCAAGTCAATATGTTACCTTTATAGTTTTTTATTTTTAAATATACACAGAAAAAAATTTTTAGATGTAAATCAAAGTAGGAATATATCTTACTCGTTAAAAATAAGATATTAGACACTTTTGACATTTGACACTTCGTAGAAGTCAAATGGTCAATGGGGGTTATGCCTATGGGAACTTTTTATCAGAGACAAAATCTGCAACATATCAAATATTCAGCCAATTCCACCGAAATCAAATTTACATAAGGAATTGTGTGGAGCCCTTTAGAAATGCATCGAATAATAATAGTCGCGAGCTCCCAAGCTTGCGTGGTAATCGGTTATGACAGGTACGGAAATAACACGGTGATTTTTTTTTATTATACTTTTATCTGATAGATAAGAGTATAGTAAAGATACTTATATTTTTTCTAAAAGTGCACCATTGCAATTCTGATGTCAGATGTCTCATATGCTGTTACTTCGAGTCCTGTCATAAACAATTACCGCGCAAGCTCGCGAGTAGTTGCTCGGACAATTATAATTATTTGATGTTAGTTTCATCGAAAAGAAAAAAAATATGCTAAAACCGTTTCGCAAATGAGTGTACATCAATTCGTCTACATTAAGCGTCTCATATCCCGATCATCACGATCGGTGTCGTTTTTATCGCATGCCAAGATATAAAATCACCGTGATTATAGGTAATCAATCTAAACCGATCGAAATCACCAAACTGCCAAACTTGTCAAAACAAAATCCAATGCTGTGCAAACTCCGATCCGTTCTCCAAACTGCCAGATCGCGACTTTAATCGCTTTCTCGCGATCCATCGCTGTCTGAGAAATTCGCTTCTTTTTCTCTCTTTATTCTCCTTTCTTTCGTTTCTTTTTTTTTTCTTTTTACCTGCTGGTACGAACTGGATTGCGAGGCAGAATGCCCCGCTCAGCAGGAACGAGCCGGAGAGCGTTGCTTTACGGCCGACGTAATCGGTCAGCAGCCAGGTGAGGAAGTACCCCGGTATCTCGACCACGGCGACGAGCATGAAATTGGTATACTTATCCCCGGCGAATGCCACGGAATTCAATGACAATCCGTAATAAACGAACGTGTTTGTGAGCCAGCAGAACGAGCAGACCAGCAAGCGGATGAGTATGACCGAGCTATGTAGAACTTGCATGATCGGCTTTCTCTCATCTGACATCACCAGTTCGTTTTTCTGGAAGAGGTTATACGTGTTTTACAGCCGGAGGTTATATACGTGAGTTTCTCATCGATCTACATCCCGAATCACAATATTTTCCAAATGCTATTTTCGTTTCCAACTAAACGATAAACAAAGACTTCTATTTTCGTGAAATAATTCGTTACAAATATAACCGGATTCTTAGATATTCAATCAAAATGAAATTGAAGACAAACAGGAATATATAAAAGTTTATATTACCCAAATTTAGTAGTAATCAAAGAAGCAATTATTTGCCTTTATTTTCAGAATAATTAGCAAGTATGAGTTTAGATACATAAATTAGATACACAAATAAGATAAAATTTGACATTATAAATGAATGTGCGATATTGTGTAAGCAAAAATAAGAAAATAAATATGTGGTGTACCGTTCCAGGTTTAACGACGTTCAGTTCCTTAAACATGTTCATGGCTTCTTCCGTCACTTGCAGACCGTTCATTCGTGCCATTTTATAGTAGATTTCCTCCACTTTGTCGTTCTTACCCTTCGATAGTAGCCACCTTGAAATGCATCGTTTTTCAAAAATAACAATGCAAAAAGCATAACAGGCGAAAATTTAAATCGTATCTCGCTGTAGCACAAAAATGCCAAATATAATATAAAAGTACGAAAAGTCGTAAACGCATATTTTCCCAATCTCGATCTCTTAATCTGATCCGCGACTGATCGCACAGATTATAAGCTCTCGAGCGTATACGTCACCGTATAACCCAATCGATTGCGAATAATGTTCATCGATTAAATCTTGCTAACCCTTTGCAAGAATGATATCAAGCTGATACGTGAGCGATATACACGCTGATAAGAAGAGTTACCTGATCGATTCCGGAATGACTAGAGGCAAGAAAATGGCAAACAGTGCCGGACCGTACACGACTCTGAGCAACATTCGCCAGGATCTCAGCCAGCTTGCGACTAGTCCCAACAGGATTTCACCCACGGCAAACATACAGCAAATAATAGTACTGCCGAGAACCCGGTTTTTCACGCCCGCCATCTCCATTCCTAAGAACAAACGCACGCATTAAGACAGTTGTCGCGTAATATGAGTTTCTTATGGGATTCGAGTTGAAACTTGCACTACGTGTCAATTGTAAAATATTATTTAATTATCTGTACAATTACAAAAAGATAAATCGTCCTCGAGCTGATGTGTTTGTAACTAAATTTGACTCTTTTTACACGTGTTTCTCACATTTATTTCCAATTATCGTCTTATTTTTTATATTTTTATTTTTTAATTTTTTATTTTTCATCTTTTCCTAATTTCTTTTTAATTTTAATTTCTTTATAATGTTAAAGATTTCACAAGAAGTTATTATCAGAGAGAAAAAGAGAGAGAAATATATCAGAAACTAATATACAGATATACAATCATTTCTGAATTACTGACTATTTCTTATTTTAAAAATATAGCTGCAAAATGTTAGTGTATATATACTATACAAGGTGGTATATATCCAGAATATCTGTAGTGGTATCAACGGGAAGGAGGTTTCTGTATGAATTCTACATGATTCTACGTAAAAAATATTAGGTGTACAAATGAATAATCCAATTTTTTCAGCTACATTCAAGGTTTATTTTAAAAGAAAGTAAATTAAATTGTCCAATCAAAGTATTCGCCGTTGCTTCCTATAACTTTAAGCCATCTTTCAGGTAGCTGATGAATTCCATCTCGGAAAAATGTTATGTCTTTGGACACGATAAAGTCGTCAAGCCATTTTCAGATCTCATCCACTGATTGGAAATGCATATCAGACAAGGCGTGTTGCATCGACCGGAACAAGTGATAATCGGATGGAGCAATGTCTGGTGAATACGCCGCAAGTGCTGCAAGACGTCCCAGCCAAGACTCATTATGGTGTCTTTTGTATTGGAAGCAATGTGTGGCCTGGCGTTGTCATGCAACAATTTCACTGGACTCCTGGTTCTACTTTGCCAGTATACGGGCGTTTTCGTTCCAATTCTTGACTCAAGCCGATTAATTGACGTTGCTAGCAGTCCGCAGTAACTGTTTCACCCGGTTCCAACAACTCATAATAAAGCACGCCCTTGATATCCCACCAAATACCACCAGAGAAGAACCTTCTTTCCGAAGCGATTGGGTTTTGCAACCGATTTTGATGATTCGCCGAAATTTACCCATGACTTTCTGCATTTCGAATTGTCACAGAGTATCCATTTCTCATCGTCCGTAACGATTTTCCACAAGAAAGACTTTCGACGCTGCTTATTGAGAAGAGAAAGACACGCTGCCACTCGTTGATTTTCTCGTTAGTTTCAGTGAGTTCATGCGGAATCCATTTCCCTTCTTTCTGGATCTTTCCCATCTCATGTAGGCGTTTGGAAATCGTTTGCTGCGTTACTCCCAACTGTTCTGCAAGCTCTTTTTGTGTTTGTGCCGAATTCTCAGCGAACAGTTGTTCCAAATCATCATTATCGCACTTCGGAGGGCCTCCAGGGCGTTGTTTGTCGATTAGACTGAAATTACCGCTTTTAAACCGCTTAAACCAAAATGCGAACACATCGTATGATACAACACCTTTGCCGAGAAAGGAACAAATCGATTTGCATGCTCTTGTAGCATTTTCTCCTTGTTGGAATTCGTAAAGAATGCAGTGTCGGATATGTACCTTATCTGTTGCCATTTTCGACTGTACTGAACTGAAAACTTTTGAAGGTTATGTTGGGCATTTCGCCAAACTATATGTTCTTTTTAATAGCTATATGTCAACATTGCATAATCACAAAAGAGCGGGAAAATCTATTCAATTTAAAATTGATTTCATAACTGCTTAAAATTATTTAGATTATTCATTTGTACACCTAATATAAGTCGGAAATGAATATAAGTAGAATAACATTTTTTTTTATATGAAGCTTCGTCTTCGAGAAAAACAATTTTACAGGTTTGCCAGGTATGCATGTTATATCTGATTTCCATGGAACTCATTACCATATATTATCTCTGCACGTATTTGTGTTTACAAACATTGTCAATATCAAAGGGATATTTTGGAGATACATAATGAGCCAAGATATTACTGTTTAAGAATTTTGTTTTATTAATTCAAAAATTGTTGGAAGTGTTGCACCATGCAAATTTGGTCTGACCATTTTACTCTTTCACCAAAACAGCCGAGATATTGAGGCCTGTTTTAGGTGCCTCATCCTGTATATCAATAATATATTATTAACAATATAAATATTGTTGCGCTCACTCTCGCACTCGCGCTTGCACTCAGGTAAATGAAAACACTCGCGTAAGAATAACAAGCTTTACTATTTACAGCGCAGCTCACTCAAGCTTTAAACAAGAATAATTCTCTATTTGATAATTCTCAATTCTCCCGTCTATCCTCGATGACAGCTGGTCAGAGACTCTCTGTCAGCTGTTGTTGTTATCTTCTTATCGATTTTCCGTCGTCCAGACAATCTTCGTTCAGTTGTCAAAATCAGCATCAGATGCCTAAGGCTCATGGACAACGGACGCCGCCACAAACCTTATGGCTCGGACACAACACTGCTCCCCCTCTTCGAAAAATTGTCGTCCCGACAATTCTCTTAGGCAAGGTCATCCTCTTCCTTGACTCCAGAGATCTTCATGACTCTTGTCCTACCCTGAGCTGCTGCTACAGGTTACCGGACTCCATGAATTCTTGATCTCAATCAAGGATTCTGAGGATCTTGACTCTTCGCCTTCAGAACATCATCTCTATCCCCGTCCTCTAGGAGATGATCAGTCTCCAGGACCTTTCTAAAACGATCCACTTGTTGTTCCGCTTCTTCGTCCGTTTCCTCCTTGGCTCCTCTTCGGACAGGGGGGGGGGAACTACCGTGGACCCAACGTTCTAGAACGTTATAGAACACCCCGAGTCTCTGCCTCGGCATTCGCTCAATGCCCTACAGAAAAACCACGATCAAAAACCGTGGGGGAGGCAGCCTTCTTGAATAATCGATGGAAAATTGACGATGGAAACGACGGAATCAGAAGAGAATGGGCCATCTTTATCTTGAAACAAAACAACATACACACTTGAACGAGTAAACGCTTTTTATTTAAAAATAATGTTGTAAAACTAAATCTCTTTCTTGTTAGCTCGTGCTATCAATTCAAATAATCTGATAAAATCGCGCAACAGAGCAGTTCCGTCATAGATATCGGGATTTAATTTTATTCCGGCTAAGGAAACATTTCTAGAGTGACTTAGCTGTGAAGGTTCTCCGCCTCCGGCCAGCTGATTCAAACTCCTACCGCTCCTGTTCTCGCTCCTTGCGAAGCTGTTGCACTTCCCGCAGAAATGTTCGCAAAGCTCCTGCCTCTGTTTCAGCTCCCTGATTCGGCTCCGCTGTTATCAAATTTGATGCTGCCGTCGAAGCCTGGCTTCGGGTTACTCTCGGCAAATGCATCATGATTTCCTTTCTTGCTCGCCTTTTCGCCGAACGATGCTATTTCTTATCCCGGTCTGTGATTCGATCCCGGACGAGCCTCCAAAATGTTGCGCTCACTCTCGCACTCGCGCTTGCACTTAGGTAAATGAAAACACTCGCGTAAGAATAACAAGCTTTACTATTTACAGCGCAGCTCACTCAAGCTTTAAACAAGAATAATTCTCTATTTGATAATTTTCAATTCTCTCGTCTATCTTCGATGACAGCTGGTCAGAGACTCTCTATCAGCTGTTGTTGTTTTCTTCTTATCGATTTTCTCTCGTCCAGACAATCTTTGTTCAGTTGTCAAAATCAGCATCAGATGCCTAAGGCTCACAGACAACGGACGCCGGGCTGTGGCTCGGACACAACAATATGTATAAGAGTATTTCTCATGTAGCCATAGCCAATGGAAGTATAAAGTTAATTAAGACAAACATAAAAATTCCATTGCATTTTGCGATATTCGCAATAATTATTGCCCGCTTTGCTATATCAAAGAGCATAACCATGTACCTATAGGCCACTGGTCCGGAATCATGGCTAAAAGTTTTGAAATCATTTTGAGCATAAATCAAGTTTATGGTGCGTGAATTACGAATATGCAAGTGCCAAAGTGGTCGGACTTCAAATTCCAGACATATTGAAATTCTACTTCTACGAGATGGCGTAAGTGCTCTCCGCATCGAGATACAACAGTTTTATTCCGTGCCAAAAATACTTTTGTATCTCTCTGATCTTCATTATCTTGATGGATAATAAAGATTGATCTAATTTAAAAAGAACTGCACTTTCTTCTCACGAAAACATGGTTCTTTTTTTCGTTGCCTGCTCTTTTTTATTTCAATGTTTTGCTTCATTATTCTCTGTGCTTGATTCTGATATCCTAAGTGAGTCTTCCTTTGTTCTCTTTTGCAATTACGTTTTTTTTACTTATAGCCTCTTATTTTACCTCGACTCTTTGTCTTTTGTCGCATTTACTTCAACATACCGTCTCATCTCATTGCACTCACCTTCTGCTGTTAATTTTCAATGAGCTATATTTCTGAAATCTGAAATCCGGCCACTTTTAAGCACTTGCATATTTGTAATCTATGTCCATAAATCTTATTTTAAACCCAAAGTGGTTTTACAACTTTTTGGCCATGAATCTGGACCACTCGCAGCCGCACTTTTTGTACAAATACTTGTCAGCATATTTTGCATTTTTATGTGTTCAAAAGCTAAATTTATTTTTTCTCTCAATTGTTTAACACTCGTAATATAATCACGTATTCGTGATGTTGACAATCTTTGTAAGTATAAATATGTGCGTCGCTAACATATAGTGAGCTCCACTGAGATCTATACGCATATCTAACGAATATTCAAAATTGTTTCTTTTTTCGAGAACAAAGTTTCTTGTATAAGAAAAATGTTATTTCACATTTTCGATTAATTTTTTCTTGCAACATTACCCTTTCTCGCTTATACCAATAATTGAAGATATTCTGTGTGTATACACACACACGCACGCACGCACGCACGCACGCTCGCACGCACGCACGCACGCACACACGCATTTAAATATTTATATACTTCTTTGTATTACTTGTAGATCTCTATAAAATCGACTGATGCATGAGAAGAGTAAATAATATATATTCCGTATATATAATATATGTATATATTCATTTCAACTTTGCATCAAATTAACATTTACTATTTAGATAAATAAAATTTTTATTACAAAAAATCTTTTTCATTCAATAGATTCATAAATTTATTAAAAAATTCCTTAATACTCGTCACTGGAAATTCGTTACCGCGTGGAGCGACTACCTTAATTATTGATCAAACTTAATCACCGCGACCCAGCGACAATTTTCGCAAAAACTGTTCAATAAATAAAAACGCGACAAATAAATAAATCGAGATTCGGAAGAAATAATTCCAAAATATACGCAGCGTCCCGCGTTCGTTCGTTTTCCGAATATTTTCGAGCGAAAGAGTGACGTCACACGAAATTCACACTCCAACCGCCGCCCGTATATAATAAAACGAATAATTGGTGCAACGTAACGTGCTTTACAGGTTGTCGCGTATTTTTCCCCGAATTATTGTTCCGCTATTAGCGCACCTAGAATAAATCCCGCGCTGTAAATTCCAGACGCGGCGGTGGCGTCCAGGAACTCGAACGCGAGAAACATCCAATAATTCACAGAGTAGGAATGTATCATGCCACTGAGCCCGCTCAGAGACGTTGCCAGCGTCAAAATGGTTCGTCTGCCGTACCTGGAAATAGGCGAAAAGAACGAACGGATGCAGCAGCACCACCACCACCACCACCACCATCACAATCACCGCCATTATCATCACTACCATCACCACTATCGTTGCCGCTATTGTCGTTCCATAGCTCTCCGTCAAAGCGCATTTTTACCGTATCACTGTATTGCGAAATTCTCCGTAATATCGCAATGTCGCGCTTTTCTCTTATTAAGAATGCCGTGACATCCGCGATTTATCGAAACTCCGTCGTTTCTCGGTCAATTCGTACGTCACCCCGTATATATACAACACCGCGTATATACATATATTTTTAATGGGAAATTTAATCTTGCAATTTTGCGCAATTTATCGTCGCTTTTTAAATACGTAACGATTATCTATTTAAGCAAGTCTATAATATATTTACAGAAAAAAGTATCGTAAATGTAACAACGAATTTTGTATTCGATCGTGCATCAGTTGAATCGAAGCAGTATATATGAATAACATTGCAAAATAGGATGAGTTATATCATCAAACTTTAATTGAAAAAATTTTAATGATTAATTCTAGGTATCATTACTAATTATTAATATTACAAGCTAAAATTAAAAATTTTAAATCAAAGACTGAGATAAAAACCTACGCGCGATTATTATTACGCATACACATACACGCATCCACACAAGATATAGTTATATTTAATATCAATCGATTAAATAATAAATTAACAACTAACACATTTAAGTCCCTATTTTGAATCCTTATTAATAACCGAATAACGATGCACAAACCGGCGGAACAAACGATAAAATCAAATCAAATTGCACAAGAGAACATAAAGATCAAATCGTAAATATACTTTGCACAATACCAAATTCAAACGAACAAATAAGGTGAATATATCAATTGCTGGTTGGTTTTAAAAGCACTATTAAAGAATGTTATATAAAAGCCACAAATAAAAAGAAAATCTCCTTGTCAAATTAATATAAATTAGAAAAAACTAGATTATTTTTTTAAATTTTAGAATTTCTTTTTAAGAATAAGAGAATAAAGTAATTGAATATTATTAATTTATTACAGAGTTTTTAAAAAATTATTAGATATTTAATATTAGTTAACGAGTTAATGTTAGTACCCACATTAAATGTTTAATAACTAAACAATTTTGTATAAAGCAAATGTATCGATATCTGGATATATTTTACATAATGAATTTTTAATCAAGTTAACAGATTGCACTTTATACTTCATTTCAATCAAAAAATTGTCTTTTATTCTTATAATTCAAAATAGCTTAATTAATTTCATAAATAATTAATTATTTCTTACTGTAAGAATTAATAAAATTAGAAAATTCTTGCTACGCGCTGGCATAAAAAAATGAAATAATTTATTATTTCATAAAAATAAATAAATCTATGAAAATAAGTATCTGAATATTTCAAGCAAAGCTTTAAGATACAAAATACTCGTATCTATTCTATGTTAAAATTGTGATTATTCCTACTTAAAGACTGAAACGACAACAAATAAAATTTAAATTTAAAATACAACTAAAAATAAAATGACGAAAATATCTCTTAACCCCGTTGCGTGTTATTAATCCTTTTCTTTTAATTATATAACAGGCCTATTTCCGGCAATGCCTGAAGCTCACATTACGTATAACCACATTTTGTGCAATAATAAATGTGCACTCTTATCAATTTTTAATTTCTAATTACATCGTAAGATCAATTAGGTCCTAAGAAGAGCTTTAATTCCTTTTACAGAATTATATTTCTCTTTTCACGGACGGTGTTGAAATATGTGAGATTAAAGCGCGTTTGCGCGCGACCAACCGGAGGATATTTTCCTCCGTTGATTAATTAAAGCCAAGAGGGTCGCCGCACAAACGTATATATCTTACCTGTCTGATATGTATCCAGCGAATATCAGGCCGACGAATTGACCGACGTTATTTACCGTACCGACCAGCGTGAGTTTCCATCGATTAGCGTCGCAGGTGAACTCCCACTGTATCACGATAAGCAAGGGAAAACGGTGAAACGCGGCCGTGCCTGGACGAGTCTCGGGTAGAAAAAGATCAGCTTGTTTAAGCGCGGGGGCCACTTTACCTCGTTGAGTATCGTACTGTCGGTCCGATCGTAAAGCCAGGAATCACAGTCGAGGCTCACATTCGTAAATGAATTAATTGTGCACACACCCGGGTCATTTCGCACTACGTGACGCATACAACGCGAGATGTCTCCATTCTTGGTTTTCGGTGCAGAAGCGTTCACCCAAGGTGGATTGAACGTTGCGTTCCATGGATGCTCGCATTCCGGCACCAAACATCTGCATATTCAAACAAGAAAAACAATTATTGCTATTTTGCACGAAGAAGAAAGGTTCACTATTACAAGTGGTACACAAATGAATTAGTAGCGAAACTGTAACCAAAATACATAGACAGTTGTTCTGAGTAATTATACAGAGATCCGAAATTCCTGCATTCGGAGTATCAGGATATGATATTTTATGTTAAAACAAACAACTTTTTCCTTCAGCAAAATTGCGCCCGACAAGTAGTTTTTGCAGAAAAACGTGTTAAAGTTAACGAATAAGTACTCTTGTCTATGTAACGCTCAGGACCGGCTCGTGCGCCTTACTCGCGTGTAGTCAGTGAGTATTCTAATATTCATAAGTAATATCTTTTAAGACGCTCATGTGACGTCAAGACAGCTCTGTTGTATTTAGTTGACGACATCTTAAGATTATACTTAAGACAATTTTAAATAATAAGAATCAACTATAAACAATACCGGGATTTCACAATTCGCAAAGCATATGTCAGATTGTCTACAGTTTTAAGATGTCGTAAACTAATCACAACAGAGACGTATGAGCGTCTTAGGGCATTACTTATGAATATTAGTCACTGATTAGGTACACGCGAATGAGGCGCGCGTCGGACCTGAACGCCACATAGACAAGAGTACTTATTCGTTAACTTTAACACGTTCTTCTACAAAAACTACTTGTTGGACGCAATTTTGCTAAAGGAAAAAATAGTTTATTTTAGCATAAAGTATTATGTGCTGTACTCCGAATGCGGGAATTTCGTATCACCCTGTATATAGAAACACATTATACATATTTAATTCTTTTTTTATTTAAAGATATATTATAAAGATTGAAATTTTGAATCATCTCTGTATTTTAAACTGTACAGGATTTATAAAAAATATTAGGACGGCGAAATATCTCAAAAACTAAGCATTTAAAAAAAAATGTTTCAGATAAAAAGTTGTATGGTTTCAAGAGGGACAACTACATCATTTTGTTTACATTATGCCACTTTCGAGATATTCACTGATTGTTACTTTTCTTAAGTGGAAATTCCAATTTTTTATTATATCGTCTTTTTCTACCAATTAATTTTTATAACTTTTGACTGAAACATTTTTTTATTTGCCTAATTTTTTGAGATATTGAAGGAAAATTTTGTAACTTTTTCAATATTTAACTTATGATATCTCGCTATTTAGTCGAAAGAGAAAATGGTACTAGACTTTGTATTCTATTTAGTCTCAAGAATATACTGTTAGAATAATACCCTAACCTTTGTTAACTTATCGAACTTTGGAAATTTCAAAATTATCAATTTAACAAATGTCAGAGCGCTATTGTAACGATATATTTTTGAGGCCAAATACAGGTTGCATGAAAAGTTCGCGGAGCGAAACTGAAATAAAGAATACCTAATTCTAAAAATGATTTTATTCTTCAATATAGTCTCCATTAATTTCAATACACTTGGCCCAATGGCTCTCCAATAATTTTATTCCATCGCGGAAGTGTATTTCTGGAAGGTCTGCGAAATATGCCTCTATAGCTGCTATAGCTTCTTCATTCGACAAAAAATGCTTTCCACGGAGAAATTGTTTCAGGTTTCGGAATAGATAGAAGTCGCTGGGTGCCAAATCTGGCGAATACGGTGGATGATCAAGAAATTTGTACTTCAATTCATTGAATTTAGACATTGACAAAACACTTTTGTGAGCAGGTGCGTTGTCTTGGTGAAAAATGATTTGTTTGTGCTGCAAACCAGGTCTTTTCTCACGAATTTTTGCGTCCAATTGATCCAAAAGGTTACAATAATATTCAGAGTTAATTGTTTTACCTTTTCCCAGATAGTCAATTAACAAAATCTCTTTACCATCCCAAAAAACTGATGCCAAAACCTTTTTTGCCAATCTTTCATGCTTTATTTGCTTTGGAGCTGAACATCCAGCTTCAGTCCACTGTAAACGTTCCAGTTTCAATTTAAGATCATGGTGATAGATCCAAGTCTCATCCATAGTTATAAAATGACGCACAAAATCGGTTTTATTCTTCTTAAAACGATTCAAATGACGCTGAGAAATTTGCTTTCGAGCGAGTTTTTGTTGAATTATTAACGTATGCGGCACCACTTTTCCAAACACCTTTTTCATTTGTAATTCTTTATGCAAAATATGCCATACCCGTTCATCTGAAATGCCTATGGTATGAGCAATTTCACGCGTAGTCACATTTGGATCTTCAGAAACAATAACATGTATTTGCTCAATGATTTCTGGTGTTGATGCGCTTTTTGGACGTCCACTGCGTGGATCATCTTCAATGCTTGTACGACCACGTTGAAACTCAAGTGCCCATTTACAAACCATTGTTTTTGAAGGAGCAGATTCCCCTAACACATTTACCATCTCGGAATGAATTTCCATTGCCTTTAAACCTTTTTTAACAAAGAACTCAATCACTGCACGTTATTTCAAATTTTCCATTGCAAACAAATATACTGACACGTCAACTTCAATTGGCTTGTAAACACAGAAAGAATTGACAGATAGAAATGAAACCTAACCTAGGTTCATGTGAAGAGTGATTCTATATAACCGACTACAATTTATAATTCTACCGTTTACTTATAGATGCCGCTCCGCGAACTTTTCACGCAACCTGTAGAGTAAAAACGTCTAGTACCACTTTTTTCGACAAATAGTTAACGAGATATCGTAAGTTAAATATTGAAAAAGTTATCAATCCTTAACCAATCATTTTCCTTAAATATTTCAAAAAATATTGGGCAAATAAAAAAAGTTTCAGACAAAATTGTTAAAATTAATTGGTAGAAAAAAATGACAATACAAAATTCGGGTTTCCATTTAAGAAAAATAATAATCAGTAAATATCTGGAAAGTGGCACCATCTGTAAACAAAATTATATAGTTGTTTTATTTCCATCTTGAAATCACATAATTTTTATCTGAACTTAGTATCTTCCATATTTTTCGAGATTTTTGCCTGGCTTATTTAAAATGGTGTATATTACACCGAACAAATTTCTGCATTCAATGTACCTGATTCATCAACAGCGACTTTTTATGATAGGAGTACAAGAAATTGGTTGAAATTTGTAACATAATGTAATCAGTGAGTATTCACTGATTTTCAGGAAAAATACTGGTACCTTATCCGTCTTATATCTCACTGATCAATGGAAGTAAAATTTCATTACGAAATATATAGTATACAAATACGTTATATGCAATATCAAATTTCAATATCAACTTTCTGCGCAATAATAGACTTCAATACGTATCTTATAATAATGCATGCGTATTAACGATGGGAACAATCGCTACTATTAATCTCTGTGCTATTAATTTCAGTGAGATATTATTAATCGCAATATATATTATATTTATAACTGAATCTCCAATATTATTTAAGTATAATATAAGTATAGCATTTATACTTATACAGGATGTTCTAAAAAAATATGTCAAAAATTTAAGGAGATATTCCTCATACCTGAAGAATGAAAAAATGTTATATAAACATAGGTGCGGAAATGCTTATTTCAGGAGTTATGTTGACAATACTATTAGCTGTATTACTTATACAAGGAAAAATTTAGGATTAATTATTGTAAGCGACAATCGTTTAATTAGGCTTATTTACATTTGGTTTTAATGTGACCTTGAGTTAGTTACAATAAATGTTGAAAATGTTCGCCATTTACCTGAATACAAGCAGTGACACGTCGACGCATTGATTCGCGGACATGTTCAAAAATGCCTGGCGTACAGCGGATTGTCTCGCAACCTGCAGTGATACGGTTACGAAGATCTTGAATATCACGCACTGTTATAGCATGTACGATTGCCTTTAAATGTCCCCACAAATAAAAGTCTATCGGATTGAGATTCGGGGAACGTGGAGGTCACAAAATAGGTCCACCTCTTCCTATCCATCGATCACCGTAAGTTTGATTGAGAAAATCACGACTATCGTCTAGGTGTAAACAAGTAACATTAAAGGTCAATATTATTCTGATTGGTGTTTACGAATTATCACAGTTTATCAGAGATGGACATTTTTGAACGTGTCCGTAAATCAATGCGTCGACGTGTCATTGCTTGTATTAAGGCGAATGGCGAACATTTTCAATATTTATTGTAACTAACTCAAGGTCACACTAAAACCAAATGTAAATAAGCTTAATTAAACGATTGTTGTTTACAATAATTAGTCTTAAATTTTTCCTTGTGTAAGTAATACAGCTAACAGTATTTTCAACACAACTCCTGAAATAAGCATTTCCGCACCTACGTCCATATAACATTTTTTTTATCCTTCAGGTGTGAGAAACATCTCCTTAAATTTTTGACATATCTTTTTAGAACATCCTGTATTGCACTTAAGCTTAATACTTATATTATATTTAGTAGTATTTTAGTAAAGAATACACTGATTATATTGAGCTTTAAACAGTAAAGTAATATACTTCGAAAAAAAACTACATATAACTCTCGTATAAAGGGTGTTCCAAAATTCACGCAAGAAATAATTTTGATAGAAAACACAGGTTTATAATTAAAAATTGTAAATTTTTTATTGATTCACAAAATATACAGTATAGGGTTATGTATGGAATAGCATATCGGGTAAATAGCCTCCACGGCTTTATTGGCACATACGCACTCTGTTATTCTCTGGCAATGTTTGCATTCGGATATCTGGTTAAACGTGCAAGTGTAAAGAAAGAATAGACTTCGTTACATTTGTGTATGACAATTTTTAATCCTTACTAGTAGCAGTAATCATCAAACGAGAAAGAGCCGTTTCTATAGTGCTGAATTGAAAATGATTATACAATTAATAGATGTATCGGTAACGCTATTATTCACACTGTGATATAACAACATATATTGGGTCTGGGAAAAAGTTCGTGGCGTTTTTCCCGATAGATGGCGTCAATTGCAAATAACTCAGGAAACAGAGATCGCAGCGACACCACTAAACGC